AATGGCATCCACTGACGGTGGTCCCCATCCAACCAGACTGAGCTTGAGAGGATTTGCAAAGAACAGCAAAATATCCCCCAATCCAGGTGTACAAATCGTGTTGCGTCATACCGAAAACGACTTGAGGTTGTAATTGCTGCCAAAGGTGCCTCAACAAAGTACTGCGTAAAGGGTCTGAATACCTTAGGTACATGTAATATTTCAGTTTTTTCTTTTTAATAACATTTCTAAAATTATTTTGTCATTATGGGGTAGCAAGTGTAGATTAATAAGAAGAATTTAAACAACAGTAATATCAGGCTGCAACATAAAAGTGAAGGGAGTCTGAATACTTTCTGAATGCACTGTATATACTTTAGCTTTATGCCATTAAAAGTCAAAGCAACTGTCTACTTCGCAATATGTGATGTTAAAAGAAGCATTATGTCTTCTCTCCCTATTGATAAGGCTTCTTACATCTGTTGGAAAATTGTTAATTGAACCAAAAAAAATAAAAAATCTATGAGAACATAAAATGCATCTATATTAAAAACCAGCTAATTCTGACAGATAATGAATGGAATCACCATTCATTGAGGGAGCTGAATACATTAATATCAGTTGATGGTAATGAATGTAGGTTCTGAATGTTAAACGGTGATACATTATGAAACACGTAGCTGATCTGGTGAATATGTATTTACACACATGCACATGGATTAGTCAAACACATAAATGCCACAAAACATTAAAATCTATGGTATTTATTTAATAATTTCCATATTACCCACTAGCAAAAAAAGGAGATCCTCAGTTATAGGAAAATAGCCTTTCCAATGCCAAGTGCATAACTTATATTATGTGTAAATGTTAACACTACATCAAATAAGTAGCTGAAATTCAATAATAGATTGTTAATCTGAAAATAAACTTCTCCACATGTAAATAAAGTACCGGTAGCCCATATAGCACATTCGACTAAGTATCAAATGCTGCAATTGCTAAAATCTGGGTAAAAAGGTGGCATAGCTAGTACAAAAATATAATACTGCAGCTGAAAAACAAAGACTGCACCAAGACAAAGTCAAAACAAATAAGGTAAAAGCGGTCTAATGAAGACAGAATATTCTGCCTCAATTAGAAATACAGGATATGATCAAATGAATATTTTTAACCAAGGAGAAGTCTTCAAATCCCTAGCTAAAGCAAAGATAAATGGACTAAAATATATTGAAACCGATCAAGAGGAAATGTAACAAAACTATAACTAGATCCGGATTAAACAGTTAAACACATCTTAAAAATTTCAATAATAGAGCCATTTCAGACCTCTATTGTCAAGGTATAACCCCCAAAACACAGCCAAGAATTAGAATTTTCTTTGGTAAACAAACAACTAGGCATGCATAAAGTAAAGGTCTCTGAAGAAATTAAAGATATTGCTTCAGACAGAATGGATGGGTGGAGCAAGTGAGAGGGACAGACTTACTCTGAAGCGGAGGCTGAGGCTGCTGGAAGGAGGGGGACTGTCCGAACACAAATGGGCTGTGGACTAGGGAAGAGGGAGGTTTTGCAGCTTGGTCAAAGATGGAAGGAGCTGGCAAACTAGGCCGTGACTGAATGGAATTCAGTATGGCACTCAGTTGATCACCTGCAATGGGCAAAACAATCAAAACTAAAACCCATCAATAAATGATTCATGAGTAGGTCACGACATGCTACTTAGATATACCCTAAAATATCCATTCCTTGTGCGCTAGCTCTCACAAGATGAATTGCAAAAAAAAGGTAGGTATACACTGTAAAATTCAAAGCAATTACAAGATAAACTCTTTTTACCCACATGACCAAATATCAGAAGAAACTTGTACTAATGGTAACAAAACGTTATTGCATACATTATACCTTATGCAATTCTGATCCTAAAAAAAGGAACATAATACTATTTACATTATTACCAATAGCAAAAAAAAGTTTTAGTGGCATTTATTGAATCTGTCACTTCACACAATATTGAAGAATTATTTTTTTATCAATAAAAAAATTAAATAAAGGGTCAGATCACAAAAAAGTAATTATAGTAACTATGTTCTGCATTTTAGCTCATAATACATTTTATCTTCAAAATTGTTGATTTACAAATGTCTCTTGATGTGCATTTTAATTTTATTCTCATGGAATAGTTACCTAACCAATGAAAGCCTTAATTTCTCAATCGGTATTTTATCAAACATCAAATTACTTCTTTATCCTCAATAGATATCTCACTGAACACTAAAAGCACACTTTCCCTTTTAAGCTGAACTTTGGGCACACAAACTTGAATATATTCTTACAAAGCCATAAATATAAATACAATTTTGATCACAAAATGCCTTTGCAGATCCAGACATTACCTTGTAAAAGTATCAGTGACATTATCACTGTGCTGCACATAGCGGGTGGAGAAAGCAGAGCTGAGGGTGGGACCCAGCAGGTCCAACCAGAACAGGCTGTCTAAAGAAAACTACATTGGGGTAGATACAAGACCAGTCACTTTGCCCACGTAGAGAGCAGCAGTAACCAGTATATATATTACAAGAAACTCCTGCAAAGAATAGGAGCCAGTTCCAGCTGGATTACTTCACAGATCTGGAAACATACAACATTCACTAAGACTCATAACAATACAAATGGCTCTTGTATTTAGCCAGACTTCAGCTTTAAGACTATTGCTTGGACTGCATTAATAGTATGTGATGCTTACAACTGATTAGTGCATGGAACCACAACATAGCTTTTGAAAACATCAAGCTGTGGCTATACCATTGCAAAGGTTTACATTGTTTGTAGATAACAAAAATGTAGGTTACAATTTGGTTATATAAGCTGAACTGGCAAAACCAGTTTACAGCACCGCAAACCGAAAAGAGCTATTACACAATTCTTCAGAAAACAAGGCACATTCAATATGGGATTTACTAAAATATTTACAATTACCAACAACATATTTCACTCTATCACTCTATCACTAACATTAACTAAACCCTTAGCTATATTTTAATTCTACTTGTTCACATCTAAAACCTCTATTTTGAATAACTAAAAAGAATCATTTGCTCACTAAGGGGTTAAAGAGGCCATGTCACAAACTTAAACTGCAGGTAAAAGTGCAGGACAATCAGATATTTTAATAAATAAATAGGGAATACATGGGTAGATTTTCAAATGAACGTTTGTACGAAAAATCCTGTCGAAACGTTGAATACCATCGGACACTTGGAGATTGTTGTTTGAAATTTTGTTTGATTTTCGTTTTCATTTAACATTCGATTCTGGAATTAACTTTCCACAAATGAAAACTACAGCCACTGTTCAGAATATCATTAGATCGAGAAAAAAATTCACGCTCCTCTGAATTTTTTCGGCACTGCGGTGGAAAGCAATCATCGATTTCACAGCAACACCAAACAATTAGAAACGTTCCAAAATCAATTTTGTTTATTCAAAATTCTAACCATGTATACCCTACTACCCTACTTCAGTTCCCTAGTACTGTTCAGCCCAGCCCTCTCCCTCCTTGTACGTCATTGCCCAGTCCTCTTCTGGAAGTGTCTAATCTTTGTACTAACCCAGCTCCTCCTCCCTTCCGTTCTCCCTCCCTACATAATCTTTTATGTGGCTGCCAGGGCAGGAGCAAAGAGCGATAATTCAGAGTGTCACCTGATTCTAATGGAGCTGCAGACAGCACCCAGCAGAAGTCTCAGGCTTTTTGAATGTGTACATAAGGGAGTCTTATACTGGTAAATAACTTGCGTAAATTAAATATAATCTTATGTGGAGTGATTTGTTAGAAATAAATGGTCTGGCGACAGAATCCAACCAAAGTTTTTGTTCGCTGCCATCCGTGTTCCCACTGGGAGATTACCTCTCACTTTCTGTCCTAGTTCAGAAGGTCTCAAAATGATGACATTTTGCCAATAGGGGTCTTCCTGTCTCAGTAACATCTGTAAACATAACTAGCCTTGTCCTGGGGTCAGGAAGTAAGGAAAATCTCTCTAATGTGAATGACCCTTAAAAAAATAAAAAAAATTAAAAAAAGGCATACGAGGGTAGTTATCAAAACTGGAGCAGACAAAATGTGGAGCAGTTGCCCAGGGAAACCAATCTCTCTTCAGTTTAGATTTGAGCCGATTGGTTGCCATGCACAGCTGCTCTAGATTTTGTCTGCTCCAGTATTAATTCCCTTCACAGTCTTTTCAATCTTCATTTTAGGGCTTATGTACCAGGAAATTTGTTTGTGAAACAGTTGTTGGCTTGGCTGGTGTTTATTCTGCAATAAAAGAGGATTCCCTGATCAGAAGTGTGCTGTGCGGTTTCTCTGCAGGAAGCAAAGTTTGAAATGTACGTATGTATGTACTTGAGGGCAGCCATATTTGCTCATTACATATATAGGTTCTGCTTCTCAGTGCTACAAAATGTATTTGCTTTGCTGCTCAACCTCACTAAAATAGTCTATAAATTGTTGATTTGAAGAAAAAAAAAAAAAGCACCCTGCATTGATTATTATCTGTAAAGGTGTGAAGCAGGAGTCTAAATGAGTCTGAAATAAATGCAGAGCTCCCTCTAGTAGCTAATTTACAAATATCTATAATTTTATAGAAAATTAAAAGAACAGAAATATAAAAGAGCAATTTAAAAACTTTAAAGTCACATTAGAAATGACTAATGTAAACACTATACTATGTTTTCACTGAAAACAAACAAATACACACACAGCAGAGTTTGGGCAAAGATTTTACCCCTGTGTACATGAAGGCGTAATTATTACATGCATGGAAAAGTTCGGCCATTCATATCAATATATTCAACAGTCAAAATAATGTTTAACTGCTGTTTATGAGAAGTTTGAGGTGGGTGAGATGTAGGAGGTTTGAGGAAAAGGGATCACACCCAAAAAAATTGCAACAGCTTTTTTTTATACAGAAAAATTAAATCAAAACCAATGAACAACTGAAGACACTAACAAAGACCTAACATACCTTTATTATTTCCAAGGCCATAGTCAAATCCTGGCACGATGGTTCCACTTGCAGTGCGACGGAAAATCTGAATGGAAAACGGGCTTGGAGGTGGAGTCTGAGAACCCTGATCTAAAATTTGCTCTGTGTAATAAAATGCAAAAAAAAAAGTACATTTCAGCATTCCTTAGTTTTCCAGTCTACATCAATGGGGCACAACTCTGATTCATAAACACCCACATAGGTCAAGATATGGGGACATTAAAGATCCTTCAGTGGCGTGAACCACCCCTTAGTACACTGCTGTTTGCCAACACAGGAAAAACAACAAATAAAAACATGAAGCTATTTTCTGAAGAAAATTTAGTATGAAATATCCGCAGAGATCTCAATGAATGTCCGCGCATCTTGCAGCTCAGATAAACAAAGCAGTTTTTTTTATTGTGCGAGTGGAACAGAAGGAACAAGAAAAACCATTACAAATAAAATGGCCAAAACATGGTTTATTTGTCCAAGGAAAAAAAAGTGCTGCTCAATGGAGCAGAAAGAAATGAAATGTTTCTATTACTAAAGCATTAACAAAGGAATCTAAAGCAAACTGATTACATATCAAACAAGTATGTCACTATTAATAACTGCAAATAATTATAATCTGAAGAAGTAATTGCTATTCATTTGTACATTTATTGAGAGGGGCACACTATAAATGGATTACCTTTAAGATTATGTACACATCCCACAGTAATTTAACACCATGCTTATAATATTAGAGGGCATCATGGTCTATTTTCCAGATGTCAGAGCACATCATTTAATTCTAGTAAATTAAATGCTCCCTAAGCAATAAATAGGCAAACCTCAGAAGCCATTACATTACAGCTGGCACCTAGCTTTTGGCAAGTCTATGGATTATGATCTTGTGTGGTAATTGTATTGGTCCTTACATTTTACTGGCACCTAAACTCTTAAAGCAAGTTTGTTGTCCAACAATACAGAGTGCCTTTACAATAATGTGCCTAACAGCAGCATTTACATATGCGGTTAGCTAAATGAAACTATAAAAAGAATTATGTATCAAGTAAAACATTAGTTGTGCAAACATATTTTTGCAGCCTTGGTGCCATCCAGTCCCCATTTTCCTTTGTCCAGCAATATGAGATGTTTCTCAATCTACAAGTGTCTCGACCATTGATTAATAGTCTGTGAGAGATCACAGAATAGTACCCAAGATATTTTGTTTTTTTTATTACCAACTGTCTGAGCAGGCAGAGTAATCCTATTAAAGGAGAACTATGAGATGAGTGATTTCCACTCACCTCATAGTTCTAGCCGACCTGTGACAATGAGACTGTCACAGGTCGGCTCAGTAGATCGGGATGCTGTAGCTCACGGTATACTGAGCTTAGGGTAATGGGAGGACGCTAGTTTGTGTCCTCCCGTTACCCTAAGGAGAACTATGGGGAAAAACACTGACCCCCATAGTTCTCCTTTAATGTCTCCGCTTGAACAATCATAATCTGAGGTGCTGGGCTCAGGTTCGGTGCAGACTAACTTGATCCGGGATCGTGCGGTCCTGCACAATGCAGGCCACAATTTTTGGTACATTTGTGCGATACACGAAGCGCTGCTTGTTTTAGCCACGATCGTGTTCGGAAGCGTGGGCGGAAAACACGCAATCCGCCTGACACGACTGGGGTGCCATTAGAAAATAATGGCACCCACAGCGCAAACCATGCCGTGAAGTGTCGCCTAGGTGTGCACCGGCCCTCAAGCTCTTTGACCATCATTGAAAAAAAAAAAGAAAAAGTAGAAAAAGGGGTAGCTAGGCACAAGTTATAAGAAAATATTAAAATTAAACATTATACTTGCCATCCTCATGACGAAGATATTGATTGTCACCAGCGTCTCTAGCCAAGGACCAAGCTTCACCCTCATCATTCTCACAGAACTCTACCATGCTGTTTTTATCCAACTGAACCCATGTACCTTCAGAACTGACCACCTAGCACGAGAACAGAGATCAAAACATTCATGCAGATCTTAACATTTTGGTTCATTCAAATACAAAATGTATAGCTGCATGCGAATATATTTATACAGAATGTATGGCCTTTACAGCATGAAACAAAGTTTAAAAAAATTTACAATAGACAAGTCTTAAAATATCAGATTTCGAGAAAAAAAAAACAACACTGAAAGGAAAATGCCTAGCAAATAAATGGCAAGCTTAGCAGGAAATGGTTCAGATTTATAACAAGGCATCCACAAATTCCAAGGGTGGATTGAAAAATAGCATGACACACTACACCTTGAAGCAAACTTTAGAAAGAAGCTCCCAAATTTACACAGTCACTTCAAGAGCTAAAAATAGTGTATTTGGAATTCCATTGATTGCTGCTTTGGACAGTCCATAAGCATACACGCATTTGGTATCATTTGAGAAAAGCAACATTAGAACTGCCCTATAAAAAATGTGCAAGTTTAGCAATGCTATAACAGTGTGCAAATAAAACTGTAAGGACATCTGAGGAAAGAAAGGCTTTGTTGCTTTGATATTTGCATGACATAAGCGGAGTTAAGTAAGTCATCAACTGTAGCTAGAAGAGTCCATACCTCGCCCACAGCCTTGACTTTGTTTCCCAGTACTAACATTCCAATTGGGATACCTCTTAGGTTTGGGCAGCTTCTGATGTTGTGACCAGAGGGCCCAGTCTTCACTACCTTGTAGAATCCAGGTCCGCCCCTGAGTATCGGGACGTCATGCTCTCGCATTGTCATTTCCTGTGTGCAACGCACGTTGAAGTCTTTCAACAAATCCTCCGCATTTGCTACCTGCTCCTGACAGATAAAACAAAGCAGATCATCAATACTTCTGGTCACCTCTCCACTCATTCACAAATAACCATTCATCAAACACATACATGTCAATTTTCCAGTTTCTGAACCAACAAAAACACTAACTCAGCAAACAAAAATACAATGGGGGGAATTTATCAAAACTGGAGCAGACAGAATCTGGAGCAGTTGTCCATTGCAACCAATCAGCTTCTCTCTTTAGTTTGCTCAGGTAAGATTTGAAAATGAGACAGAGAAGCTGATTGGTTGCAGTTCAAATCTGCTCCAGATTTTGATAAATTCCCCCCAATATGTATAAAGGGGAGTTCCAAACCAAGTGTAATGTGGTCACATGTGTCTTTCTAGCAAGAGGACTCATGATTTCAGAAATTATCTGCAATGCTGCTGTAGGAAAAACTCCACCCCAGGAGTTCAGTAAATGCAAACTGGCTATCCTAACCTTACAAACAAATGTAAACAGCAATGGGAGGAGCTGGCAGCTGTTACAAACTAGGACAGGGGGACAACTCCCGCTGACCATAGCAGCACTGGTCAAATCACAAGATTCAAGTTGCTTAGCAAGCACAAGTACCTGAATCTGTCATAATATCAGAATGCTGTAATTCCCTGCACAGCAGGATACAGATTGGGTTAGCAAGGGTCAGTGCTGCACAGTGCTGTCACTCTTACTGCACACAAATAAAGGAGGGAACAGCAAAGACATAACCTCGGTGTATTTCTGTTCCATCATCACTCAATCATAAATGGAGCTCCAGTTTTTCATGCTTTAGGGGAAACTAAAATGATTTGGGGTGAATATGATTTTACATTTTGTTTTGGTTGTTTCTAAAATGACCTATTTTAAATGAAATCCTTATTTTACAAGCAATCATTTAATATGTGTTGAGCCCTTAACTATTAACAGAAATGTAGCTTAGTATTTGTGTAGGACTCAGCTATAGATCCTAAAATCAACTCTGAAATCATGCTGACACTGTCCTTCCTTCTGGAGGGTGGCTACTTTTGTTCCCCATGGTCCGTGTGTGTGTCGTAAAGTAGCAAATGCTCCAAGTTTGCTCCTGTGATGGACTACAATCTCAATATAAATTAGTAAACTAAATGCAAGATTGTAGTTCATCACAGGAGCGAGCTTGGTGCGGTGGCTACTTTACAACACACACGGGGACCATGGGGAACAAAAGTAGCCACCCTCCAGAAGGAAGGACAGTGTCAGCACCAATTCAGAGATGATTTGAGGATCTACAACCAAGTGATGTACAAATAAGCTAAATTTTTGTTAATAGGGTACTTGAATGCATTTTTAAGATTTAACTTCTGAGCTTAGTGTCACTTTAAAGTAGTCATTTTTACTGAACTGACTGATTTGAGAGACATAGGATTGTAGTATTTATTGGACATGTGGGTTATAATGCCGCCTTTAGTACTTTTAGACACGGGCAAAACAAAAGTTGTTAGGCCAGCCCTTTTATAACCACTCTCACCCTCCTCCAACAGTCATGGCTCAGTTTTGTAAGCAAGCAGAACATAAGGCCAATAATAAAAGAAGGGCAAGAATTAAACAGATTTTATAGCAAACTTTAAAAAAAAATCTAATTTTCTTCTCCATCCAAAAGCACTTCAACTGGGGGGTGGGCAAAAGCCACCAAGGAAACCAGTAGATGTGGAATCCTATTGAAATCAAGACCTGAATGAAGGTTTGATAGGAAACATTTTTGAAAAAGGACATTGCCAGGGATATGACAGCAAGGGTATCACAGATCAGAACAGATAATCTCAGACAAGAAAACTGATAGTTGAAGGTGTGAAGAATGCTAACAAAGTGGAAGACATCCAATTAACCACATAAGGGAATAAATAAGTGAAAGAAAAGGCTTCTAGGCATACAATAACCTACTAAGGAAGAGCACTATTGCATAATAAAGTTCTGCCTCTTGACTCTACAAGGAGGTACAGGAAAATTATCAATGGATGCTTCCTTGAAAAGGGAGAAGGAAGAAGCCTCAGGTGAATGACTCACTGTGGAAAAACATCCAATAACTGTTTGCTTTGTCGAAACAGATATGAGGCGTAATGTCCAAGGATGAAGGAAGAGATATTGCTCACTGTGAGCAGAAATCCGCAATGCAAGACATCCGAGGGAAAAACATAGATGACTGTATTGCCAATTTTGATTCTGCAAATGAGAATCACAACATATAGAGGGAAATATGGGAGATTCATTTCCTGATTATCCCAGAAATCCACTCAGGAGGATAATGGCCAAGAGTCTGGAAAGTAAACATAGAACCCTTTTTACGGGAACACTGTGAGGGTGTATGAAATCGACTCTTTCTAGTGAAATATAAAAGGCATTCCATTTTGGTTCCCCCCCCCCCAAAAAAAGGCACAAAAGAGGAATAATAATGCCATGAGATTTAAGAAAAGAGTACTGGAGTGCACTAAAGAATCTGGTGTCACAAGGGTTAGAAAGTAAGGATGCGCCTAAATTTCGACCGCCGAAGCATATCAGCTGAAAATGGCACTTTTGGCAAAATGCCATCTTTTGGCCGAAATGGCGGTGCATCCCTGCTTTCCCTCCTCCATGCTGGGCGCTGCTCTGTGTCCCCTCTGACACAGCACAGTGTCCAGCAGGGAGGAAAGTAACTGTCACAGGAGGCTGAGCGGTGCAGGGGAGGAGAGCGCTGTGAGCGGCCAGCGTCCGTCCTCTCGCACCGCTCAGCCTCCTGTGACAGATCAGGAGAGCGGCGGTGTGGGGGCGGAGACAGCTGTTAGAGGAGGCCGGGCCAGGCGATGTGGGGAAGGAGTCATCGGTCAGAGGAGATGAAGCTCTCCTCCCCACACCGCTTGCTCAGACTCCTGTAACAGCGAGTCAGAATGGAGAACAGGTACAAGCGCTGAGCGATCATCGATCGCTGACTGCTTGTGAATAATTGAGGACATAGGATGTTTACTGTGTCCCCAATTATGAACGAATGGGCGTGATCTACATCACTTCCTGTTCATTCATGATTGTGGACTTGGTAAACATACTATCTCCACAAGTTATGAAAGAACAGGAACACTCAGTATAGAGGATTTATAACAGGGGCTGCAGAAAAAGAGATGGGAGGACACTGTTCTCAATCTTTCTCAATTTTAAAAAGGGAGATATCAGGGGGTCTGTGTAGACCCCCAATATTTACCCGGAGCCCCCGACATTAAGTAAAAAAAATAAAAATATTTGATAAAAAATAAAATAGTAAAAATTTATTTTAAAAAGGTTAGAAAAAAACATTTTCGGGTTCAGTCTGTCATTTTTTTCATTTTGGTGCACCTCTATTAGGAAGCATTGGAAACTAGATCCTGTAGATGTAGGAAATTAGGATATCCCCACAGGGAAAGAGAATTTAAAGAGGGTCAAGCATCGTGAGGTGTACGATAAAAATAATGGAACAAAACTTCACTGTAGATAGAAGTGTGGCAGTTTGGACTAACCCAATTCAAGAAAGCATTTCTATTTTCTTGTTGCCATCATTGAATTGTCGTTCCTTGCAGCCAGTGATGTCAGTAAGGGTGGAAAGCCGGACAAAGCATCATAGGCTGCCAAAAGCGACCTTGGATGCTGTGTCTGCTTCACCCCACCCCTGCTGCCCCCCAATGAGATGCTGCCTCATTATAGGGATGGCTCTGCCAGGATCTATGCTGCATGTGTCAGTCCAATCTGTGAAAACCAAGAAAAGGATGCTACTTTCGATAGAGTATGGACTGAGGTGACCCATTGCAGCGGGACTGTGCAAGCCGGCAGTATAACTCACATGCCACAGACATACTACAATTCTGTGCATCTGAAAGGAAGACAAAGAAAATGCTACTACAACAAGGTGTCCCTCGAAGGATGACAAAGAAACTGCCAATTCTATGTTGCAGCTTCAATATTATCAGGATTGAACATCTTAGTACAAATCAAAATCAAACTTCCTGCAGAGTAAAGTAGGAAACTATTAGTCTGTGTTCCATATTAAGGAGCTTTTTCTTTTCTCAAAGCTTGATTATTTTAAAAGGTTTTTGTTATAATCAGTAAAAGATTATATCTAGAAATTATCTTTTTGCAACAAATTAATATTACAGTGCAGTCTACTTTCACAGGTTTCTTCTTTTAGGAAACAGGAGACAGTTTTAGTTTTGAGGTAGTATGCTAATCTAATAGCCAGAGCACATCAGAACATTACATGGGGCACTAATTTATCTCTGCTTAGTAAGCAGAAAATAATGGGAATCACCTGAGGTTTCTACAGTGTGGAAAATAATTATTTGATCCCCTGCAGATTTTGTAACTTAGCCCACTCACAAAGAAATGAAAGGTTTATACATTTTATCATAGGTGTATTTTAAATGAGAGAGAATATCAACCAAAGATTCAGAAAAAACACATGATACAAATGTTATGCTGCAACTCCATTTATAACGTGTATCATGCGTTTTTCCTGCATTTTTGGTTGATATTCTGTCTATATCATTTAAAATACACCTGTGATAAAACATTATAGACCAGGGGTCGGCAACCCCCGGCACGCGTGCCCGGCTTGGCACGCGAGGCCACATCGGCTGGCACGCAAACTAATTTTTTTGCATTTGAGAGCTTGCTCGAGCCGGCTGTCAGATTGAAGTCCCACCCACCTCCCTGACGTGACCAGTTAACGTTCGTGCGCGGAGCCAGACTGAGGAGGCCCTCGACGGTCTGCTCGAGGTCCTGCCTGGCGGATTCTTTACCTGCAGCACGCAGGACCGAAGGAGGAGAATCGCTCACCCGCCTGCCGGACTGAAAGGATCTTCTGTTCCCCGCCTGATTTTGTCACCATACTGCCCATCATTAGTCAGAGCACAGTGCACAGAGCAGTGGCGGATCCAGGGGGGGGG